AAACACATTTAACTCAAAAGGAAATTCAAAGACTGAAAATTAAAGGATGGAAAACAATACTCCATGTGACAGGAACCCAGAAAAAAGTGGGTGTAGCTTTTCTGTTTGCAGACAACGTAAACTTCAAACCAAGAACAATCAAAAGATAAAGAAGGTCACTACATACTTGTGAAGGGGAAGTTTCAAGAGGAAGAGATAACAATTGTAAACATCTATGCACCAAATATATGGGGTGAAATGCTCATTTGACTGAGACTCTTTTAGTGACAGACAATGGCCTAACAGAAAGAGACCACAGGGATATGGAGAGGAGTCTCTGGATTCTAGGCCTGATTCTAAGAGTCACTTGCCAGTGGGAGCAGCCTCCAACTCCCTGGTGGGCCAGGCCAAGTTCCAAGGGCTCTGGTTGGGCAGACAGCTCTCCTAGTCCTCACCATCCAGGGAACAGATGGTCAGGGGAGTGGTGTTGTTGGCACAGATGCTATAGCAAGGACTAAAATAGGGCAGGAGGCGCCCAGGGAAGGGAGAGCGGGGGAAAGTGAAGATGTGAGAGCCATTATCAGTCACATTGTAGAAGGAGATGTCGTGGGCCTCGTAATCTAGGAAGACTCCCACCCGGCGTGGAGGGACTGCCAAGGACAGGAGTGGGTATTCATCGGTGCCTGCACGGTACTCAGCTCTCTTCCTCAGCCTTATCACCCAGAATCCATAGTCAGGGGATAAATAGACCACCTCCTTCCTGTCTACGTCTTCCTTACACACTCCCAGGCCCCATTCAGACCTGTCTCCCACCTCCACCTCCCAGTAGTGCCGGCCTGAGGAGATGCACTGGCTGCCCAGGACTATGTTATAGCGGTAAAACCTCTCAGGATTGTCAGGCAGATCCTGCTGAGTGTCTCCATAGTGTACGCATTTTCTGTTCTCAGACACGATGAGATGGGGAGTAAGCAGTGTCTGGATCCAGGCGTACATCAGCTAGGGGAAAAAAAGACCCTGGTCAGCAGCCCTGCCACAGAGAAAGGATATGAGAGTGGTCTCTGATACATGCAGCCGCAGGTCTCTCAGTGATGGGCTGGCATGGACTGGGCATCCAGAAGGCACTGACCCATTTTATTTCTGTGGGATGGGTCCCTCCCCCTGCCCATCACAGTCTCCTCAGTATGCATTACCTGCATATGTCTTCAGAATCTCTCTTAGGCCTACAACACAGCAATCTGTCCTCAGCTCCAAGGAGACTGGCTCGGGCAGCTGCAGGCTCCAAGATTTGCTCCTGGTAGAGGAGGGTGAGTGCTGGGGCCCAAGTCCTGGCTCTGCCATGCAAGCCTTCCCTTAACACAGGGAAGAGGGGCTTTGCCAGAGAAGTCAGTCAGGGGTTCCTCCCCACCAAAGCTACAAGATGATGATGGCTGGCTGAGCCTCAAACTGCTCACGATGCAGAGATGAGGACTTTCCCTTCCCCATGTTGTGGGCAGGGTTAGGTGTGTACGTGACACTGGGAGAGGAGTGTGCTGCAAAGAAGAAAGGCTGATACCGCACAGCTGGGTACCTCTGGGCAGTATTTTTGTTTCTATCCTTGGATGACATACTTGAAATCACATATTTTATGACCTCTACCTAAAATTCTCATTGGTAATGCCTGAAATGAGTTTGAACAAGTGCAAAAAAGAAACAGGAAATAGTAACAAAGCTTCTTTAGCCGGTATAATGTAATGGGGAGGAGGCTGTGGATTAGCAACTGCTGTCTATGGGTATTGAGTCTATGTTCCTTTCCATTTCTGGCTCTGGCCCGGCCCCTCTGTTCCTTCTAGGGCTGTCTAGAGGCTCCAACGATGAAGACATACCTGTTTAGGACTTCCTGAATACCCTAGAAGGAGAAAAAAATACAGTACATAAGTGTGTGCTCTTCCCGGGAAGCAGCCAGATGGATGCCAGACTCGGTGATGTGGTTTCTCAAGGTAAGGGAGCTGACATCAAGGAGGGAGAGAATCTATGGAAGAGAAACTCGTGAGAGGGCAGCAGGACAGGGTCAGCTGGACTGGTCGACTTCAGGTTCCAGGGTGGGCGAGGGTCTGAATGATGCCAGGCTGCCTGAGTACCTGCTGCTTTCCTATTCCTGGCTGGGTGGAAGGCCTGGTCTATGAGACTACCACTAACTGGGTCCACCCAGCTAGGGACAGGAGAACAACAGGCAGTAGCTGGAGGCATACGGGAGCCCTAGCTGGCAGGTAAAGTGCCAACAGGCCTTGTGGAGGACTAGCCAATCCTCTCCTGCATACTGAGGGCAGCTCTCACGCAGGCTTCCCAGGAAAGCCTGCTACTCACCTGCAGCATGCAGCGCACAGGCATCTGAGATCTCTCCTTCAGCTCTTCCATCATCCCGCACAGAATGTCTCTCTGCTGGACAAGCTCTCCATGACTCAATTCCAGTTTATGCAAAGTCTCCCCCTTCTCTTGTTCCAGGCTGGCCAGAGCTGCAGCTGCTTCCATGGCCAGCTGCCGACCTGGCGGCTCTTGTTTGTTTAGTAATTGCTGGTACTTCTCAAACTCCCACATGATACTCCGCTTTCGGGTTTCCACTTGTATCTACAGAGTCAAGACTGGAATCAGCACCAATATTTTTAATGTAACGGCCATGCAGGATTGAGGACCTTGGCCCCTGCATACACACATCCTGTGGAATGGATCGGTACAAATGTGTGCTAGGTGCTGGGGAAGTAAAGGTAAAGGATGCTATTTTTCTTGTCTTTCTGCTCTCACAGATCCAGGGTGTTCTTCTGGATCCCTTTTACAGGTTGAGGGTCCATTATCAGAAATATTTCAGATTTGGGATTTTTCTGTATTCTGGAATATTTGGATATATGCAAAGAGTTATTGTGGGAACAGGATCCAAGGGTTTTTTTTGGTCTTTTTGAGGCAGTTAAAACTGGCCTTAAACTTGTAATCCTCCTGCCTCAGCCTCCCAACTGCCAGGATTATAGGCATGTGCCACTATGCCCAACAAGGACGCAAGTTTAAAATATGAAATTTATTTATGTTTTATGTGCATCTCATATACATAGCTTGAAGGTAGTTTTAGACAACATTGCTATTGTGCCTGTGTTTTGAGTGGGACTTACCCATGAGGTCAGGTAGGGAATTTACTTGTAGCATTATGTTGGTGCTTAAAAGAGTTTGAATTTTGTAGCAGTTCACATTTTGGATTTTTGGATTAGGGCTGCTCTACCTGTACTACTTTTACTGACCAGGAGGATCCAGGTTATCTTGGTACTATAAGCTCTAGACTATTTTTCCTTTTTAGAATGACCAGATGAGTTATATTTACAAAAGCAGTGTAACTTAACTACACTGCTAGATGCTTTTTCTTCTTGCCAGTGTAATGTCTATTCAATGTACTGTTCTAGATTGCTTGAATGCTACTCTCCATTGATCAAAAGCTGTTAAAGTTTCATAATGACTGGCTTCAAATATATTCAGAGATGATCTAATATTTTAATAAATGAACTCTTAGGAAACACCTTCTTCACTGGGACAGTAAAGCAAAAACTATGCTTTACTGGCATTATACAGGTCTTGGTACCATGAATTAATGTGTATGTGAGGCACACACTTCTCCTTTCTCATGTATGAGGACACTGGATCAGTGGTATTCCTACATCATAATTAAGAGACCAGAATCAAGAAGTTTCGCAGTCTGTAGTGGGCCATATAGGCCATATACCTGGTAAAAGCTATTAGGGTCCCAGGTTCTCTGATTTACATCCTCATATTCTACCTCGCAGAGATGAAAAAGCTGTGGGACAACCCAGGGGTGACAGAAACTCCTTCCCCAAGTGGCCACTTGCCTTCCAGTTAGCAGTTCGTTGCCTTTCACTAACTTCCAGCTTCCAGACCTCGTCCTCTTGTTTCCTTAGATGTTCCAGAGCCTCAAGGAGTTTCCACTGCAAGAGATAAACTAGGACCAATGAGGACACCTCAGGCATCCAGGACTGATAAGATGGCTTCGTCACACTGGCGAGTGCTGGGAAAACCAGGGTCCTTCCAGCAACGGGGAGAATGAACGTGAGGAGGACAGGCAGGCCACAGAGGGAGCAGATCTGCCCAGATGGCCCCCAGGGTAGCTCTCTGAGCTGAGGATCACTGTAATACCCACAGTCCCTAAGTGTAAAGTTGAAGAAACATCCATTTCCAAACTTTCTAGAAAAATGTCCCTTGAACCTTCCTGTTCATGTCTTATTTTGGTCTTATACCCTATGGTCTCCCAGAACCCGGGTACTCCTACTGTGGTCCAGGATCAGCAGTATCACCTGGGTACTTGTTAGAAATGCAGTGTCATGGGTCTCATTCCAGACCTATCAAATAAAGTCTGAATTTCAGCAAGATCTCTGGTGGTTCACATGCATGTCAAAGGTAGGAAGTAGTGTCCTAGAAGAGTAACACAAGGGATTTCTGCTGGAAAACATAACATGTTTTAGTATTACTTTTAATTCTAATCATGGTAAACATTTTATTAAAGAATAACCAAGTACCAAATATGGTTTAAGCACTATATGTGCATTAATAGAGTTCCTAGCTATTGATGTTATCCCCATTTTACAGATTAGAAGAATTGAGGCATAGAAAGTGAACTATCTAAAGTCATCTAACTAGTAAATGGTTTGGCTGGGATTTAATCATGATATTATACCACCTCTATACTCTACTATTTTCAAAAGGAAATAAGAGTAAGTGTATATTTTTAATGCTTTAGAAATTCTTACTATAGATGAAAAAAGCTTGTCAGGAGATTCGTCTTACATTCTTACTGCCCAGTCTCAACTCCCTGAAGGAGAATTTAAGACCAGAGCAGGGTCATGACCACTAAACACAGGAATAATGGAGCTGACAAGGATAGGACAGCATGGACATCTGAGAAAAGAGCAAACAGGAGCCTGGGGGCAAACTCTAACCCTGTATTAAAAAGCAGCAGGTGCACCAAACAAAGACCATTTGTCCCAGAGGAGGGAAAAACAGAAAAAATTAAAAGGACTTGGGAAAGGTAAAAAACAATGGCCAAAGAGGAAAAAACACAAGTCCTAGCCTCTCATCTTCTTTTACCTAAACCCAAAGTTAGAAGGGACCTGAAGGGACCTGAGAATACTATATTAGGTACTATGTGTATTAATGCATGTTTAGTGCTTATATCACATCTGACACTTGGCAAGTCAGTCCTTGGGAACTCACTCATGGTCCTTTCCAGCTCTAAAAATAAATTATCATGATCCCAAATTTCTAAGCCCCAGTTTTGTCTCTAAAAAGAAGGAGTTTGGCTCATCCAATGTCAAGTGACTACTTGTTACGCTGCTAGGAGGGGTTAGGAGGTTCTGATAGGTTGGCTTTGCTTACTAAATCTCAGCCTCACACCCAAACTTATCCAAGCCATTAAGAACGCCAATGGAATCCAAACTGGCCTCTTCTGAAGTCTCAGTAACTGATATCATCTTTGGGTTACACATTAAACCATGTTGGCATTTGGGTGGGATGTGGAGGAAGTAGGAGATAAGGAAATCAACAATGGTCTTGAATAAAAAAGAAAAAGTATATCTCAACATATCAGACTCAGGGCCCTGTGGGTGTCAGGAGCCAAAGAAATCAGCTCTCAGTCTCTGGGGCTGGTAGTTGGCCCTTGACATACAGACAGCCACATGAGGGGCAGAGGCACTATCGCTCACCTTGAACTCCCAGGCAACAGCCTCCATGGGTGCAACACAGTGGGCCACATGCTCTGGGGACTGGCTGCAGGCCTCACACACCATCAGGTCGTCCTCTTTGCAGAAGATCTTCAGTTGTTTCCCATGGAGCTCACACACATTGCCTTTCAGCTCCATTCCTAGACACAGCCTCAGCAGGTGGACTTTTTCGACAACACTGGCCAGCTGCCAATTAGGTCGCAGGTTCTTTGGGTGGACAGGGACACAGCAAAGGGGACAGGTATAACGACAGTCCTGGGATTCTCTTGGAACCTCCCAGAGTCCAGAGAGACAGCTGTGGCAGAAGGTATGTCCACAGTCAATGCTCATGGGCTCCTTCAGGAAAGTCATACAGATGGGACAGGCCACTTCCTCCTCAAGGGCTTCCACCAAGGCTGCAGGATCCATGGTCCCTCTCACACCCTCCTGAGAACATCAATAAACACAGGGAGAGGTAAGGAAGGCTGTAAAGAGTAAAGGAAAATACATGAGAAGAAAAAGTACATCTACAGATCAATAAAAACACTAAGTAGTGACTGAAAAACAAACCTATCTTTTGGATCCTTTATTGACCTATCAGATAAGCTCTGGCCTTCTCAACCCAGGCTTTGACTGGGCCACTTTACTCACACCACGGAAGAGACGTGTAGGGATGCCCAAGAGAGTGGCATTGGGAGTTCTCAGTTTTCATTTATTTGGGAAACTGATTCTCCTTTGTGTTTGCTCTACCCAACTATTCCTGTTCCTATCATACTCTATAAGTCAACATAGCTTCTCTTGAACTAGGGCAAGGTCACATAAAGTGTGGTGTTCCTGCAGCCAGACCAAGGCCTTAAATATCTCCTCTCATTCTCTGGTATGTTTATGTGTACATTTATATTCTTTAAGATGTGAAAAGCATATGCCAGAAGCTCACTGCCTATACGCACAGTTTATTTTCTTATGTTGCACACTAACATGTAAAATGTAAGAGAAACAGGAATGTTCTCCTTGTGCTCTGTAACCCCTGCCCACTTCTCTGGCAGTAACACATATATGCCAAGACACTCTCCTCAGCCTTTAGTGGTATGTTAGAAGTAGAGGTGAAATAACATCCCTTGGAAGACAAAAACAAGTAAAGATCACTTGATGATAATCAAACCCATGTGGATGAAGTCATCATTGCAGAAAAACAACCAACCAACCCCCAGAACTTTTGCCAGGATCACATATGGGTATGAAACCTGAATGGTCAATGGCAGGCTTTTGATTCATTTGGCAATATTTATTCATTCATTTTGCAAGTTTATGCTACTAGATAGAATCTACAAGTCATGTTGGTTTTACTCATTTGTATTCTTAAGCACCTAAACGGTGCCTGTTGTGCAGATACTACTGAATAAATATTTATCAAATGAATAAGTAGCTAGACACGAGAAATGGTTTGCAAACCCAAAACGTTTTTGTAATAAATTAACTATTACAGCAAGCAAACTTTGGGCATTTACACTATGTTCCAGGCATTTTTCTATGTGCTTTACGTGAGTTAACTCAATTTGCTTCATAATCCTAGATAGTGGATCCCAATTCTATCTTAGGGAAATTACCTAACTTCTTCAGCTTCAAGGTCAAATGTGAACTGAAGAGGAGAGAGAGAAATCACCATGGTTTAGGGTCACGCAGTAGGGCTTTCTGGAGGAAGCGGGGTTGTAACTCTCACAGGACTGTTCTAAACCACTGATAGGTCAGGCATTCTCCCTGGCCTCCCTGCCTCCTATTTTTCTTCTTCTCACTTTCACCACCCAAGTGTGGGATCCAGTAAAAAGCCCAGGATCTCTGAACTACCAACCTCCACCCAACACCCAGCCCAAGCTGCATCACAGAGGTTTAACAGGAAGGGCTCTTTCTTCACTCTTGAAACAGCATCTGTACCATCCAAGCAAACAGACAAACTCCCCCACTGTCCCGAAGATCCCAGGTCTGTTCTTTCCACCCTACTTGGTAGATCCTACTCTTGACATCATTTGCCATGTACTTGTTTACTGTTTTACTTCTACATGAAAAACTGCATGTAGATAGGGTCATTGTCTATTTTGGTCAGGGCAATTTTCCCAGTGCCAAGAACAGCACTTTGATGTTTGTTGGATACATGAGAATTAAATGTAAATGTGTTAACCAATTCTAAGCTATCACTATGTAGTACAACAACCATTATTAATTTCCTATCACTTTGTGTGTAATTCTGTATTGCTTGTACTGGTTTTGTGCTATTTTGTAAATGTATGTTTGTTTGTTAATATATTTTCGTTCTTTTATCTTTAAAAAAATGTAAACGTTGAGGTATGGCGGATAGCAGGCTGAAAGTGGAAGGAACTTTAATGTCTTCATTTAAAGTTGTGTGTGTGAGTGTGTGTGTGTGTGTGTGTGTGGGGCACCAGGAGCACTGCCTAATGCTGACAGAACAATGAACATAGGGTGATACCTATTATTCAAAGCTCCAAAGATCAACAGAAGAACCAAAATAGCAACTGCAAATGGAGAAGCTAAAGGCAGTAGGTGAGGCAAAGTGATGTAAAAAAGCTAAAGAAATGCAGTGGAAGTATATATTTTTTGATTTCAGGCCATAAAAAGAGCCGAATGTGGAAAAGTTAAAAGCAGTGATCCCTAGCAGATTTAAGTGGCTCATGGCTGTAGTCCTACTGCGGGAGAGGCTGAGGCAGGAGGAGGGTAGGGAGTTCAAGGTCAGCTAGGGGGCTCTCCAAATAAAAAATAAAAAGCACTGGGAAGGTAGCTCCGTGCTAAGCCCTAGATTCAATCCCAAGTGCCGGGGGATGGGGGTGGAGGTGGCAGCCTCTGCAAAGATGATTGGGGATGGATAGTTATTGCTCCTAAACAGAAGATCGCTTTAATGTTTTATTTCTGATTACACAGAAATTACTTTGGTACAACTTAATCAGTTACATGTTACTTGTGCCTTTGGCCGAATGGGTGTAGGTTTGGGAAACACTGTTGGGTGGGAGGCGGGCCTGGAAACACTGGAAGCAGGCAGAGGAGGTGGTAACCTCCAGGGTCTGGAGCAGCCGGGACGTCACCTCCGGGCCACGGGGCGGGCCGGAAGGCAGCGGGTGATGGGGCCTGGTAAGGGTGAGCATACAGGACCTTTGCCTTCCAACTAGGCACGGGTAACCCGCCCCTCCCGGTCCAGGACTAGCACTTAGCGCAGGGAACTAGAAGTGGAGATGCCTGCAGGCCGCGGCCCAGGTTTGCAGCGTCAGAGGCGAGTGGCCCCGCACTTACCCGCCGCCTGGCGCAAGCTGCCAAACGCCTTGGCTGTAGACAACTGCTCAGCCGCTTTCTGCAGCTATTCAGCCCGCTCAGGCCCCGCCCACAGAGCCGGAGCCAATGAGCAGCAGGTAAACTTCCCGCGGCAGCCCCGCCCTCCTGGTGACGTCTTTGTAGGAGGAGCCAATCAGAGACAGGCATAGAGATAACCCTGACAGAGCGGAAAGTGCACGGAAGCGCTGGAACCTGCTCACGTTTTCTCGGGTTACTCAATGTCCTGGCCCCTTTCCTCACTCAGAGCCGTTTCAGCTGTAAAGGTGCCTACGAATCAGTTCTGCGAACCGTCAAAAGGTTGAGGTTCTCCAAATGCTCTGGCTCAGCTCTGAGACGTACGCTTGGCTGTTTTCATTTGCCAGTTGACGTGTTGAACTCAGCAGCTGTGAGATCAGTCGGATCTGGGTCTGTGACTCACCTTGGCACGGGGCTGGGCAGTCCCTTGCAAAATGTGCGACCTCTGCTGGCTCCCGACTACAGTTACTGGAGCTCATTTAACAAGACTCCTGGTTTTCCTGGCAAGCTCTTATTCTTTGTCACTCATCACCATTCAGACAACTCAGCTTTGGAGTTAGAAGCAGATACTGATGGAGTAGCCCCAGTTGCCCATGGTGATAACCTGTTTGAAAATGCAAACTTCTCTGTCCTCTCCTTCCCTTCC